CTGCCCGAGCTGGGCCGTTAAAACGGGTCCAAGCGAGACGGGAACGCCGGGGAAGGACGGCGTGGCCCGGCCAGGCTGGTGGCGGTCAGGGGACGTGGGATGAGATTCCGGGAAAACTTCATGGAGCCAACGGGGTTGTCTGCTGCAAAAAAAATAGGGTTTCAAGCAAAAGTAAGGCGTAAACCGGCATCCCAGGTACTTTTGGCCGAGCGTGTGGAAGTACAGAGGAGATGAGGAGTCGACGAGTGGAGCGGGGCTGGGGGGAGAGCGGGAGCTGCAGTTGGGACGTGTGGGTCCTGGGATGTACCAGGGTGGCGGTGTCAGGACATGGAGATGTCACATGTGGAGGGGAACAGAGGGGTTGGAAAGAGGGAGGATTGGCGACATCAGAGCCAAGGAGAGTGTGGGCCTGGCGGGTGGCTCAGCTGGTTAGAGCATCGTGGGGACCCACCTAGGATGCGTGTTTGATCCCCATTCAGGGCACATGCAAGAATCAACCAGTGATGCATCATTAAGTGGAACAACAAGCCATGTTTCTCTCTCTCTCTAAAGTAAGTTTTTAGTCTTTTAAAAATATCTTTTATTGATTTCAGAGAGAGGAAGGGAGAGAGAAACATCCATGATGAGAGAGCCATTGATCGGCTGCCCCCTGCACGCCCCTTACTGGGGATCCAGCCCGCAACCCGGGCATGAGCCCTGACGGGGAATGGAACCTCTATCTCCTGGATCCTAGGTCGATGCTCAACCTCTGAAGCCATGCCAGCTGGGCTAAAATTAGTTTTAAAAAAGATATTTTTATTGATTTAAACACTAATGAACCAGCATCTCTCTAAATATATACACACAGGTAGGCAGTTAGAAATGAACCTATTTACCCTGGCCAGTTGGTTAGAGCGTAGACCCCATACACCACGGTTGTGGTTTGATTCCAGGGCACCTACAAGAATCATCCAGTGAATGCATAAATAAGTGGAACAAATTGATGTCTCTCCATCTCCATCTGTCTCCCTCACTCTCTAAACATCAATGTAAAAAACAACACCTATTCAATAAGTTCAATTTATGCAAACATTTCATAATTGGTTTGTTGTTAATTTACCTCTAAGCATTTGCTTACTATGTAGTTTTGGATATGAATACTCTAAAACCTTAAAAAGCGGTAAAAATAAAGACCCCAAATTTCAAAACCTTACCACTTCATTTGCACTGAAAATGTATAGAAACTGTTGGTCCTGTGACAATAATAGCTGATCATCACATGTATTCCTTACATTTGATACCAATGTGAGCCCTATGGAGTTGGAAGCATTCTGACCTCCATGAGCATTTTCTTGTCTCTGAGTCCTCCAGGGTCACCCAGCTGGTAAGAGGCAGCACTGCTTTCTGAGGAGCTGAGTATAGCCCATCAGGCTGAGATCTCTTAGTTCCAGGGCAGAGGTGGTGGTCCAGTTCAGCTAGTAGGATCCCTCCATGGTTACCCCTTTCTCATGGCCGCCTTCTTCCCACAGGGTCCCAGGGCAGTGGCAGAAATGCTTATGGACCCTACACAGGTGAGTGGAGGTTGTGTTTGCTGTTAACCCATCTCAATTACCAGCCTAATGGTTTTGCCACCTCGATATATATACCCTCAGGGAATGGCAGCGTCCTGAAACTTCTCCTATCCTTCTCATGCTCTTGAGTCTGAAGACCATGTACGTTCACCAGGCCCAGGATTTTATATCTAGGCCCAGGTTATATGGACCAGTTCCTGTTTCTGACAACCTACGATGGTATAAGCTGTAAGATGTGGCAGGGATTCCTAGCTGGTGGCTTAGTTGATTAGAGTGTTGCCCAATACGCCAGTGTTGCGGGTTTGATCCCCAGTCATGACACATACAAGGAGCAACCAATATGCATAAATAAGTGGAACAACAAAATGATCAAAATGATGTTCCTCTCTCTCCCTCTCCCTCTATCTCTAAAAATTAATAAAATAAAATTTTGAAAAAGATGTGGCAGGGAGTCTTAGGCACAAGAATTAGAGTGTTCAGGCACAAGCAGGTGAGGTTTAGCTGGATGTTAAGGGAACTACAGGTCTCTGTTATACCTGATGGGAATGGGGAGCCTGGTGGACGGGGAGCAGGGGGTGCAAAGGTATCTGGTCTTGAATGACAGTCTGAGGTTCTGGGCCTCTAATCTGAGGTTGGTGGGAAGTTTTGAAGGGGAAGAGAAAGGTGCTGTGACCCAGGTTTTAATAGGCTCCCTCTGGCTGCAGAGTGGGAAACAGACTAGGGGTATGAGTGAAGGCAGGGAGACCTGGCAAGAATTTCTTGCACCAGTCCAGGTGCCTGCCAGTGGTGGCTACCCAAGAGTGGTGGCTGTGGAGGTAGAGGAGTGGTTGGTTTCTGGATGTGTTCTGAACTAGAGCTGCCCATATTTTATGATGGGGAGGACGAAGGAGACAAGGTGGGATAAAAAGAAGAACCAGGGATGACCTCAGATTGTTTTACCTTGTTAGGAAGGATGGATGCTTCATCAGCTAAAATGGGGGACGTCAGTGGGATGAAGAATTTTCAGATGGAACACGAAGAGTCACTTTTTGTCCATGTCACAAATGTTCCAGAGACTGCAAGGGGAGGTGTCAGTGGGCACTCTCACACAGAGGTCTGGGGTTCAGGGGACGGGTACAGATTAGACAGCCACAACATAGTGGTTGGTGTTCAGACAATGGGCTCTGAATCGCAGGGGAGATATCAAAGAATTGGGCCGTTAGGGTGGCCTATAATTAATGAATGGCAAATACAGAATCAAAGGAAACACAGAACAAGAAACAGCTCATATACTAAACTGTACCCATTTTTACAGGGCCATGTGGTCTTTGAGGACGTGGCCATCCATTTCTCCCAGGAGGAGTGGGGGCTCCTTGATGAGGCTCAGAGACGCCTGTACCACAATGTGATGCTGGAGAACTTTGCACTTTTGTCCTCTGTAGGTAAGGCCCTCACACCCACCCCAGGGTCCTGGGCTGGGCTCTGTTCTTCCCCTTTCCAGGAGTAGCTCTGTCCTTCCCACGAGACTGGGTGCTACCTCCTCTCCTGGTTTCCTGTCACATGTGTTGCTAGTGCCAGGGCCAGGCTGTGTGCACTGTCCCTGCTGTCCCCAAGCAGCCCCATCCCTGTTGCTCTGAATCCTCACAAGACAGAGCTGGCCTGTCCCTGGTTGGGTCACTCAGTCTATATGCTGGAAACTTGGTGCCCCAGGCTTTCCCCCTCCTCTTGCTGACATTTCTTGGGGTCTGCCTGTGCCAGGAATTTTAGGCATCAATGTAGTTACTGATTTTAGGGACCACTGGGTTGTATCTACTGTCTGTCCTGTGAAGTTCTTATGATGTTAGGACAATGGATGTCCTGTGTTGGATTGCTCTGGGCTCATGCTGGCCACTGTCTTTCCTGCTTTTACCCAGAACTAGCCTCTTTCAGTTGCCACATCAGTGTTCACCTTGAGCCACGGAGAGGACCCTGGGTGCCCGGTGGGACAGACACTAGTACATCAATGACAAGAGATGCTCAAAAGTACATGGTCCTATTTCGAAGGAGCTGGGAAAGGGTGTGGTGTCAGAGCTGGGAACCTGTTCTTTGTTCATCACTTTTGATGCCAAGACCGGTGGCCACAGCTCATTTCTACTCTTTTCCCCCAATTTTTCTACTCCAGCTTATAATCCCTTTCTGCCACACTCCAACAACACCTATGTGGCTTTCATCCCCCCGCCACCCTCTTTCTGCTTCACTGCTCCCTTTGTACTTGACTGCACTTAAGATGTCATGAGATCTGCACATATCCTTAAATAGTCCTTGAATGGCAATATTTCTGTCATAGTCAGGCAGTTCTAGGGCTGGATACCACTTTCTACACAGTGCTCACCAGTCACCAGATACCATGACCTTGTTGAAAGCCATTTGCAGAGAAGTGACCTAGAAACCCTGCCTCTCCTCCCTGCACAGGACCTGATATGGTCTGAGTATGTGTGTGTGTCTCCCCCATCCACAATTCATATGTTGAAAACCTCATGCCCAAAGTGAAGATGTAGGAGATGGGGCCTTTGGGGGTGACTAGGTCATGAGGGCAGAGCCCTCATGAATGAGATTAGTGTTCTTATAAAAGAGACCCCACCAAGTTCCATAGCCCCTTCCACTATGTGAGGAACCAAAGAGAAGTCTGCAGCCTGGAAAAGGGCCCTTATCTGACCGTGCTGGCACCCTGATCTTGGAATTCCAGCCTCCAGAACTGTGGGAGAGAAATTTCTGTTGCTTATAAGTTTATTGTTGGTAGAATACCACCCAGTCTGTGGTATTTTGCTACGGCAGCCTGATGGATTAAGGTATTGCCTGTCTTGAGTCCTTCCCCATCGCCAAGGCTGTTATCATATGAGCTTCCCAGGCCCAGCTCTGCACAGTAGGCCTTCTTCCCACTGGCCCTGGGCCCCCTTAGACAGCAGTCCCATGGACTTATCTGTTGGTGTGTCTGATGCACATTTCCAGTGAGGCTTCCCTCTCCCACCAAAGTCAACATGCACTTCACTGGCATTCCTCTGCTTACAGGTAGTTGGCATGGAGCCCAGGATGAGCAGGCACCTGTGGAGCAAGGTGATTCTATTGGAGACTCACAGATCAGGACTCCAAAGCCAGATCTTTCCACCCAGAAGGCCAAATCCTATGAGATGCAAGATATTTTGCAACTGGCCGAGCACAATGGGATGTACCGTGATCAAGGCCTACACATTTGTGGGACAGATCTTTACCAGCAGCAAATGGAGCAGATTGGAGACAAAGTCTCCAGAAGGGATGAAGGGAGGCCTTCATCTGTGATAAATGGCAGTGTTCACATGACAGAGAGGATCTTAGCATGCAGCGAAGATGGGAAGGACTTCCCAGCTAGCACAGGACTCCTCCAGCACCTGGCTCCTCACAGTGGGTGGAAGCCACATGGGGACACCGAGTGCAGAGAGGCCTTTGGAAATAGACAGAATGATTACAAGTGCTCTCAGTGTGGGAAAGGCTTCAGCAGAAAACAGATACTTGTGCAGCACCAGAAAATCCACACTGGAGTAAGGCCTTATGAGTGCAGCAAATGTGGGATGGCCTTCATTAGGAAGTTCCACCTTGCTCAGCACCAAAGAGTCCACACTGGAGAAAAACCTTTTAAGTGCAGTGAATGTGGCAAATTTTTTAGGTACAAGTCCACACTCATTGGTCACCAGAGAGTCCACACTGGATCAAGCCCTTACGAGTGTAGCAAATGTGGGGAATTCTTTAAGTATAAAGCCAATTTCATGAAACATCAGAGAATTCACGATGGAGAATGGCCTTATGAGTGCAGAGAATGTGGAAAATTCTTTAGGTACAACTACAGACTGATAAGACATGAGAGAGTTCACACTGGAGAAAGGCCTTATGAATGCAGTGAGTGTGGGAAATTTTTCAGGTACAGCTCCACATTCATTAGACACCAGAGAGTTCACACCACAGAAAAGCCTTATGGTTGCAGCGAATGTGGCAAGTTCTTTCGGTACAACTCCACACTCATCAAACATCAGAGAGTCCACACTGGAGAAAGGCCTTATGAGTGCAGTGAATGTGGGAAGTTCTTTAGGTACACTTCCACACTCATTAGACATCAGAGAGTTCACACTGTCGAAAGGCCTTATGAGTGCAGCTTATGTGGGGAATTCTTTAGGTACAAGTCCAAGCTCATTAAACATTGGCAAAATCACACTGGAGCAAGGCCTTACGAGTGCAGCGAATGTGGGAAAGCCTTTAGGTACCACTGCAGACTCATTAGACATAAGAGAGTCCACACTGGAGAAAGGCCATATGAATGCAGTGAGTGTGGGAAATTCTTTCGATACAACTCCAACCTCATTAAACATTGGAGAAATCACACTGGAGAGAGGCCTTATGAGTGCAGCGAATGCGGGAAAGCCTTTAGCCACAGACATATACTTGTTGAGCATCAAAAAATCCATACTGGAGAGAGGCCTTATGAGTGCAGCAAATGTCAGAAGGCCTTCATTAGAAAGTCCCACCTTGTTCATCACCAGAAAATCCACAATCAAGCCAGGTCTGTGAGCACCGTGAATGTGGGGAACTCCTCAGCTACAACTCCATCTTCATTAAATAGAATTCACACTGGCAAAGACCTTGTGAGTGCAGAGAATATGGTAAATCTTTTAGGTAGCACTCTAAACTCATTACACTGGAGAAGCACCACTTTATGAGTTCATATTGGATTAGGGCCTTCTGAGTACAACAAGAACATCTTTAGGTGCAACTCCAGCCCCATAACACATCAGAGATTTCACAATGGAGAAAGACGGTATGAGTGCAGTGAATATGGGTATTTGTTCAACTAAAGTTCCAACCACATTCTGGCACCAAAAGTTCATGCCAGGGAGAATATTGCAGATGGTGAAAAACTTTGGCCAAATATCTGCTTTAATTTATCCCCAGGAACTACTGTTAAATAGTTTGTTCTTCTTTAACATTTTTAAAATTGTGGTAAAATACATGAAACAAAGTTTACCCTCTAGCATTTTAATTGTACAGTTTAGTCATGTTAAAAAGTCACATATTTGTGCAACTAATCTCCAGCATTTTTTTTCTTGCAAAACTGCAACACAAAGTTTGTACTCATTGAACAACGCCTCCTACCCTGGCCCTATTGCACTAGGCAACCACATTTTACTTTCTGTCTCTGAATTTGACTACTCTAGATACTTCATCTAAGTGGAATCATACAGTATTTGTGTTCTTGTGAGTGGCTTATTTTGCTTAGCATGATTTCCCTACGTTGAAGCACTTGTCAACATTTTTTTCTATTTTTAGAAGGAATTGGGGTTGATCCACCTAAGACATGGGGAATGGTGCTTGATGGAGTCAGTACAGCATTGCCAGATGTTATGATATTTTGAGAGGAAGAGGAGATATAGATTTTATATGAAATCTTACCTGCTTTATTGATACATTGACATAAGTTGTATTTATTAATAGTTAAAATGTATTTTCATAGTATGTGTGCACAATGGGACCGTCACCAAAGTCATGAAAATGAATATATCCATTGCCCTATAGTGTTTTTTAAAATTGATTTTTTGGGAGAGCGAAACATGTATTTTTGTTGTTCCACTTATGTATGTGCCCTGACCAGGGATCTAACCCACAACCTTGGCTTATGAGGATGATGTTCTAACCAATTGAGCTACCAGGCCAGGGTGAGTTTTCATTGGATTCTTTATATTCTTTCTCCCAGCCATACTCAACTTGCCATCCCCAGGTACACTAGTTTGCATTTCTAGAATTTTGTATAAAAGAAATCCTACAGTTACTCTTGTATGGCTGCTTTTACTAAGCGCGTATATATATATATTTAGTATTATTTATGTTGTGTATGCAAAAGCGTGGCATCTAATAAGAAGCCAGGTTCTGTTATCTAGTAAGGGTGGCACGTGTACAAACAACAAAGGTGCTTTTTTATGTTCTGACAATCGGTGAGATAAATAGTTTTTTAAAGTGGGAAAGTGAAGTTTAACAAATTCNGTGTACAAACAACAAAGGTGCTTTTTTATGTTCTGACAATCGGTGAGATAGTTTTTTAAAGTGGGAAAGTGAAGTTTAACAAATTTAAGTTCCGTTTCATGAATTCATTATCAATAAAAATTTTTGAATCATCTGCCTCGTACATAAGCATATAGATTTGTCTCTTTTTGTTTGTTTTTTCTAGTAATTGTTTTTTTAGAGAGGAGAGAGAGAGAAACAGATCGGTTGCCTCCTGCATGTGCCCAGACTGGGGAGCGAACCTAGGTATGTGCCCTGACGGTAATCAAACCCATAACCTTTTGGTGCACAGGAGGATGCTGGAACCAACTGACCACCCAGCCCGGGCTCAGATTCTATTTCTGACACTTGTGCTAGACGGTGTCCCAGGGAAACCTAGGTACGGCCCCTTTAAGAGTCACGAAGCCCCGCTGCAGCCTTGGAGCGGGGAACTCCACTTCCCAGCGCCCCTCGCGTCTCCTGTGGGCTTTTACCGCCAAACTCAAAAATAACCGCCGCGACCCTGGGAGAACTACCTTACCCAGAAGGCTCTGCGGCAACCGATGACCCCGATCCAAGCCAATGAGAGCTTAGCGTGGAAGCGTTTACGTGCACACGCACACTGGGGGCGGGACTTCCGGTGGCGTCCTCCAGGCTGTGGGCTCGGCCTGTTTTCGGGGTTCTCCTCTGTTTCTTAGGGCGGCGGAGCTTTGGGGCCGGGCCTAGGAGACCGAGCCCGCT